GTACAATGTACATATAGACGTTCTGTGCATGTTTTAGAGCAGAGGTATTGTCAACCTGAAGTTTTAAGCGTGCCCAGGGCATGTCCGAGTTCGCTTATTGCCTCGAAGCTTTGAAATGTTTTAGACCTACCCTTAAATCGACAATTAAAGTAAAAACTAACATAAAAACTGCCATGGTTGATTTTTCAGAAATTTTCAAATGAAAAAGGGTCTTTTTATTATAACTTCCGGTCTGATGACGTCATTCGCCTAAAACTTCGCACACGTCTTAAGTGGGTCAAGGTCATCATATACACTAATATTTAGGCGATTTCGACAAACTTCGCCACAGACATCTATTCAAAATGCATTTTTGAACATTTTCAACCTGTCCCTAGAGGGCGCTCATTGGTAGATGATTTGAAGAATACTTCTAGCCAAGAGACTAACACCGTTGAAAGCAAGTTCATATCTATTACCATTTTCAAATAATAAGCCACTTCCTGTTTTGGCCTTTTTCGACCGGAAGCAAGGGTCACGTGATTTCACGCACACTGAATGAAATAAAGACCTCAACCTACTCTACCACTTGCCGGTAACAGAATGCTGCGGACGCGTACGGTTGATTTCTAATGCATTTTTAAATATTAAAAGTGTCACGATTTAATTGCCTATAAATACACACCGGATGACGTCATCATGACGTCATCATTACACAATGTTGTTTGAATTAGGGTCTTTGCTTGGACAAAGATTGGTGCAAATGAATTACTGGCAAAGAATCAAAAATGCCCTTTGAAAATCGACAATTTTTTTTTTATTTCTGTGTACAAATTCTATGGGAAAAATTAAATATTCAAAATTCTATAATAATTTAGTCGATGACGTCACCATGACGTCCATGTTCAGGGCACATCTTCAGATGCTGGTCTAAGTGTGTGCCGAGTATAAAGTCAATCGGATTGATTTTAGTGCCCAAAGTGCCTTCCACTGTAAAAACGTGTACAAATGCTATGGGGAATGGCTGAAAAAGAAGAAAAAAAACACTAGAGGTCTATGTCTGTTTGCAACAGAACATAGGGCTTTTCCGCATTATGATTTTTTTTAATCAATAATATGCCCTGAATATGCATGAACATAAAATCTGTCAAAGTTAGCCGAAAATCGGCTAAAACGGTCACTGTGGACAGGATTTGACCTCGGCAATACGATGTATGTGCGTGTGTACAAGGTCTTTGCTTGGACAAAGAGTGATCTAAATAAATTACTGGCAAAGAGTCGAAAACGCACTTTGAAAATCGACAAATATTTTTAAATTTTTTGATGACGTCATCGTGACGTCACTTCGAACTTTGCATACTAGTATGATTAACTACCTACCCACCAAGTTTCATGACAATTGGACCTTTCCTTACATGAGTTTTGAAAAATCGCATTTTGATGACGTCATGATGACGTCACACATTGTTCAAGTTTTGTGCAAATAGCTATTACATAACAGACCAAATGCAAAAAAGAATTTTGCATTTTGCATGTTGCGTTCGGGAGATATGTCTAAAAGGTCCAAAAAATAAATATTCATATAAAATCTCAGGATGACGTCATCATGACGTCACCTCATTTTAAATCTATAACACATCCTGGTATAGCCACATACTAAGTTTCAACCCAATCGGACTTACATTTCTGTAGATATAAGACTTCACAATATGTACGTAAATTTTCAAAAATCAATAAAAAAATTAGGTGATGACGTCATCGTGACGTCATAGTCTTGGCATAATTTTGTATGAGGGTCTTCCTTGGCTGTAACTTTGATGACGATTCCAGATCGCCAAGTTATAAAAATGGTGGCTTGAAAATGTGTACAAAGTCAATGGGTTAAAAATCCCACAGCAGAAAAACTGCTCCTTTAAATACGTGATTTGCCTTTAAACTGAAACATTTTTATGAAATATTACTTGATATTCTGACTCTTGGGAATATTTTCAATCAAATGGCAAACGTAAAAAAATACGATTTCTTTTTCCTTCTCATAGTAATTCTTGGCCGAAGTTCAGAACTACTCAGTAAGATATGTTGTATAGGAAAAGACTTGTGGAGAAAGCTGTGTACAAAGTCTATGAGAAAAATTAATTTTTCATGAATCCATAATAAATCACTTGATGATGACGTCATCATGATGTCATAGTCTTGGCATAATTTGTGTATGAGGGTCTTCCTTGGCTGTAACTTTGATGACGATTCCAGATCGCCAAGTTATGAAAATGGTGGCTTGAAAACGTGTACAAAGTCAATAGGTTAAAAATCCCACAGCAGAAAAACTGCACCTTTAAATGCGTGATTTGCTTTAAACTGAAACATTTTTATAAAATATTACTTGCTATTCTAACTCTTGGGAATATTTTCAATCAAAGGACAGGCGTAAAAAAATACGATTTCTTTTTCCTTCTCATAGTAATTCTTGGCCGAAGTTCAGAACTACTCAGTAAGATATGTTGTATAGGAAAAGACTTGTGGAGAAAGCTGTGTACAAAGTCTATGAGAAAAATTAATTATTCATGAATCCATAATAAATCACTTGATGATGACGTCATCATGATGTCATAGTCTTGGCATAATTTGTGTATGAGGGTCTTCCTTGGCTGTAACTTTGATGACGATTTCAGATCGCCAAGTTATGAAAATGGTGGCTTGAAAACGTGTACAAAGTCAATAGGTTAAAAATCCCACAGCAGAAAAACTGCACCTTTAAATGCGTGATTTGCCTTTAAACTGAAACATTTTTATAAAATATTACTTGCTATTCTAACTCTTGGGAATATTTTCAATCAAAGGACAGGCGTAAAAAAAATATGATTTCTTTTTCCTTCTCATAGTAATTCTCAGCCGAAGTTCAGAACTACTCAGTAAGATATATCAGTGTTGTATAGGGAAAGACTTGTGGAGAAAGCTGTGTACAAAGTCTATGAGAAAAATTAATTATTCATAAATCCATAATAAATCACTTGATGACGTCACCGTGACGTCACTCTTCGGGACACATCTTGGCTATAGGGACTATGCTTATGCCAACTTTCAATGATATCTGACAAAGATTAATGCCAAAAGTGCTATAATACGTCCCTGTCTATGCGCATGCATGAACATAAAATCTGTCAAAGTTAGCCGAAAATCGGCTAAAACGGTCACTGTGGACAGGATTTGACCTCAGCAACACGTGCGCTGCAGGCTGACAGACATACGATGTATGTGCCTATGTACAACGTACGTGCATGTACATGTACATTGTGGACGTCCTGTCGTGTGCATGTTTTGAAGCAGAGGTATTGTCAACATGAAGTTTTAAGCGTGCGCAGGGTATGTTCGAGTTCGCTTATCGCCTCGAAACTTTGAAATGTTTTAGACCTACCCTTCAATCGACAATTAAAGTAAAAACAAATATAAAAACTGCCATGGTTGATTTTTCAAGAATTTTCAAATGAAAAAGGGTCTTTTTATTATAACTTCCGGTCTGATGACGTCATTCGCCTAAAACTGCGCACACGTCTTAAGTGGGTCAAGGTCATCATATACATCAATATTTAGGCGATTCCGACAAACTTCGCCACAGACATCTATTCAAAATACATTTTTGCTAATTTTCAACCTGTCGCTAGAGGGCGCTTGAAGATTGCATGACGTCATTGGTAGATGATTTGAAGAATACTGTCAGCCAAGAGACTAACACCGTTAAAAGCAAGTTCATATCTATTACCACTTTTAAATGATAAGCCACTTCCGGTTTGGGCCTTTTTCGACCGGAAGCAAGGGTCACGTGATTTCACGCACACTGAATGAAATAAAGACCTCAACCTATTCTACCACTTGCCAGCAACAAAATGCTGCGGACGCGTACGGTTGATTTCTTATGCATTTTTGAATATTAAAAGTGTCACAATTTAATTGCCTATAAATACACACCTGATGACGTCATCATGACGTCATCATTACACAATGTTGTTTAAATTAGGGTCGTTGCTTGGACAAAGATTGGTGTAAACGAACTACTGGCAAAGAGTCAAAAATGCCCTTTGCAAATCGACAATTTTTTTTAAATTTCTGTGTACAAAGTCTATGGGAAAAATTAAATATTCAAAAATCTATAATAAATTAGTCGATGACGTCACCATGACGTCAATCTTCGGGACACATCTTTGCTATAGGGACTATGCTTATGCTAACTTTGAATGATGTATGACAAAGATTAATGCCAAAAGTGGCGTTGAGAAAAAACGTGCACAAAGTCTATGGGGTTTAGGCGACAAAAAGAAGAAGCCAAAAAAAAAAAAAAAATGAGAACAAAAACAAAGGCTTTTCCGCAACTTTGCGGAAAAGCCAAAAAAAATGAGAACAAAAAGAAAGGCTTTTCCGCTTTTTTGCGGAAAAGCCCCCCCCCCCCCCCCCCCAAAAAAGAAGAAAAAAATAAAAATCTTAACGCAAACAAAGGCTGTTTCGGCATAAGTGCCGAAACAGCCGGGAAAAAAAAAAAAAACTTTAACGAAAACAAAGGCTGTTTCGGCAAAAGTGCCGAAACAGCCCCCCCAAAAAATCAGAACAAAAAGAAGGGCTTTTTCGCATTGAAGCGGAAAAGCAAAAAAAAGGAAAAAAAAAACTTTAACGAAAAACAAGAACTGTTCCCAATTGAAATTGGGAACAGCTAAAAATTTTTAACAAACGGGGCTATGGACGTTCCAGTCCAGGAAGTTCCGGAGTAGGAGCTTGTTGTCCTTTTATCCCTATTTCTAAAGATTTCACTGTGGGGTACCCTTTTTTCTAAAGATTTCACTTGTGGGGTACCGTTCCCTTTGTTCGAGTACCCCACAAGTACCTCTGGTGTGTACGGACATATGGGTAAACAGTATACAGGTCTGCAGTCATACAGAATTTTGGACTGGTTAGTGTCTCCCAAAACCTCATTTAGCGACACAAAAATGAGTGTTTCTGTCAAAATCATTATTGAAAAAGTCATCAAGTCTTACCTGCTCATTGGTAGTCCTCCCTCTGCACACCAGTGATATGTGGAAGATGACTAAAATAAATACGGGAAAAGCAGCCAGTACAGTAATACCAAGAATCACAAGGCTTTTCTCCAAAGTTAAGGATTTTAAGTATCAAAGTACATAGGCCTATATCTGTCTTGCAACAAGCAGAATGTTCAATCTTCATGAAGTAAAATCTTTTTTAATTTGACTTCAATTCAACAACATTGATTTCCGTAAAAAGCGAGGTAAAACAAAAAGAAAAATAACCATGAAAACAATTGTTACATGTATATAAAGTTTGAGGCATGAGTTACAAAGCCAAAGCTTATAGGGGCATGCCTTAAATGCAAAACTGAAAATTAATTCTGATAATTTCAAAGAACTTAAAGAAAGACCAACAAACCAAATGAACACTAACGATATCCACAGACGACTTACAAATTTGAAACGAACCAGGGACTGAAGGTCTCTCCTACATGTACTTAATTTGTGCATGAAAGACAGACCCTTCATGGCAATGTGCATGCCAAAAACCTAGACAGCATCTGTAGTCAGACAACAACACTTCAACATTAGAGGGCACAGTAAACTGTGTGATTAATCCTCTCTGTAATAGTGCGATGACGGTAGCGGATTGCCTTGCAATGGAACAAGAATTTTCGGCAAAGTTTTCAGCATTTCAGGATTCCATTGAACCTTTAATTCAGAGTCAAGACCGAACAATGGACTCTATTGCTTACTTTAATACAAGAATTGCCGCATTGGAGCGGCGAAATGAATCTCAAGAGAGATCTATGCCGGATGTTAGCCACGACCACCATGACCACATTGCTGCTCAGCAACCGAGTGACATTCAAGATGGCAACGCCCCGGCTCCCAGCCCCGAGTGGGCCTAGGCCCAAACGCAACTGGGCCAAGCAGTGAATGGCAGATTGAGTTTGGCGTAATTAAGGACTCTGTCAGATCAGTACGTCTTCCATCTGATCTGTGGACCCCAGATTCTCAGCAAGGAATAAAGCATGACGACCATCAAAATGTCCGACGTTGTTGATAAACGTGCTAAATTTGCGGTACCACTAACCACTATCGTGGCCGAGGAAGATACCGCGGCGGACAATCCTAGTCACAGTGGTGGTCTAAATGCGGTTACAATGCCTCATGCGGTTACAATGCCTTACAGAGGAAACACTATGGACCACGATTAACTGTTGTGTTCAAGGTTATGACATCATTATATGATAACTATGATACATGGTGCACAATCGGGTGTTCTAGTTACTTCTGGATTGGATAAAATGGGGGGTTGACAATGAGAGAAGACGATTAGAAGGTATTAATGCAATCTTGCAAGTGTCTGGGACACCCTATTGTGTTAATGCATTGCCACGGTTCCAAAAAAGAATGGGAAACTTCGACTAATTACAGACCTTCGTGGGGTCAATGCTTGCTGTACTGCACCCAAGTTTAGACATGAAGATATCACGCTCTTACCAGAAATCCTCAAACCTGGGGACTTTATGGTTGCCATTGACCTTACGGAGGGATTTCAGCATATTCCTGTGCATAATGACTTCCGTAAATACCTTGGGTTTAGTTGGTGTGGTAACTATTACACTTGGAATGTGTTACCATATGGCTTGAACATCAGCCCATACTATTTCTGTAAACTTTGAGGTGTGCAATTCAATACCTGAGACAAAAGGGGATTCGGTTGATGGCATTTGTGGATGATATCCTCATACGTAGCCAGGAGGATAAAATTGAGACTGATGTTGCATTATCTCTATCAACTTTACATTCCCTTTGGTGGAAGGCTAACGTAGAAAATTCATCTTTGACACCTCACAGAGAAAAGAATACTTGGATTATGTTATTGATAGTACAGGCCTTACTGGAATGCCAACACTGAGAGTTCCCCAACATGAGTGAGTTCCCTGGACGAAACTGTGGAATTGTCCGTCTGGACCAAGACAAACTTGATTAGGACTTTGGATGAGCAAATGCAAGGCCTTGAGCATTGTCAATAGCTCTGGTTGAAGGAATGCAACTGGCTCTCTTTAGTTGGCCAAGTGCTTAGTACTAAGTGACCATCAAGATGGAATCTCAAACCCTGCCCAAGGTACCCATTGCGACGGTAGAAGATGCAGTTACATTGTCCTGAAAAGGCCATCAGTGCAGTAGGTCATAGCTAAGATGGGTAACTGGAATCCCTTTGGAGATGACTCTTAGCGTAGATGGGGAAGACACAGGAAAGGCTGCACAAGAGCGCCTGTGTGTCATGCACCAGGGAACTAGGTCTATCATCAAGATGCCAGAAGCTTCGGATACCATCACGGTGTGTATTATGTTCCCCAGTAATGAATGCCTGAAACCAAGTTGGAAAATGTTTCAAGGTAGGTCAGCTGTCGTGAAAGAGCCCGATACTGAAGATGAAAACAATATCAAGTGCGAGTTAGGCAGACTGTTAAAGGATATACTGGAGCTACCTGTAAGGTCTGTTATAGCCCATCATCTAAGTACAAGAGCAAATGGATCTGTTTTGCTGTAAAAAGGAATACTGCCACAACAACGGTGATTCTTATAAAGACCCAAAGGAGCTGTGAAAATCCAAAAGGTCTGTAGCGAAACCCTGTAGGTACGCGTAACTCCAACTTCTGATGATCCACGTATATGGGTATTGTACAGGGACATTAGTAGGCCTATCCCAATGATTGATGGAAGCAGCAAACCAACCTCTCTTCAGAGACTGGAGGGAAGTAGAAAGCATTTCCATCTGAAGGCCTTTGCTGCATGTCAAAGTTTGATAATGGGCCGCCATATGTCAGACTTCTACCGACTGAGAAAAAAGGGTGAAGTAAGCCGAAACCCCATCCAGTTGGAAGTATCCTGATCTAGTTCATTCCTTACAGGAATGATAGCCTTCTCTAAAGCAACAAACAAGTGTATGTTGAGGCAGAAGCTCGTGGTCAGGGAGAACCGTGGTAGATAAGAATTCCAGACAATGCTTCAAAAAGTGTCAGACAAACCCCTTATGTATGAAATTACATAAAACCACCTCTGACTGGACTCTGTAGGACAATACTTGTTCTAAAGACTCGAAGCAGTGAAGATATGTCAAAATTCTGCTGTTAGCTAAGGATGAAGAAGACCGGTCTACAAACTCCTAGCTGAAGCAATTAATCTCAGTCAGTTGAATCATGCTGGTTTGAGACCTGGTTGGAGACCGACGTAGAAGATGTACATGCATGCTAAGCACCGATGATGATTAACTTATCTCAAAGTATGGAATCCTGCACCATAGTCTTGCCATTTAACCTGACACTATGCAATAGAAACATTTATCCAAGACAAGAATGCCATAAAGCCGGATATTTGCAACAAGTCCCAATGCAATTCCAACAATATGGACAATAAAGCAGAATGATAAAATCTCCAATAAAAACTGCATCAGTTAAGAAAGATATCATGGCAACTTGCAAGGGCGCCAGACAAAAGAAAGAATATTCTGTGAAGGCCCGTGGCAGAGATGGATTTGAAGAGTAAGGCAGTAATCCTTGGTCTATTGTAATAATCAACAAACCATCCCAACAGGCTGATGAATTATAAACAGGCCAGCTGAGCAAGTTCATTCCCGAACACAATCGTATCTATAGGGAAGAAGCAGGGAAAGAATGCAGCATCCAGATGCCAGTAACGTTTGAGTACAAGTCTATGGAGAGTCAAGACTTCTTTTTTTTAACAATCTTGTAAATGATATCAAACTAAAAGTGGCATCAGGTTGCAACATACTATCCAAAGGTAGCTTGAGCGTAGATACATATGAGCCTGTAATATGAACATGCTCAATAGTACTAGAAGAGGACCAACCCACTGTCATAGGATGGAAAAACTGAAAGCTTACCCTTAGCCGGTCGAGTGCTGCTAATGGAAAGGCTGTCATCACATATTCACTGAATAAATGAAATTAGAAGTGAAAAACCAGAAGGCAATCTCGAACATGGGAGACGACTCCAATGAGTAATTAAGTAATAACAATCGAATCGGCCTGAATGTTCGAAGTCAATCCTCCGTCAGAGTCCAATTGAAATCGCGAGTTGGAACCGCGAACAGGCTCGGAGGCGGTCCGCGCCGGGTCGATCCCTCAGCGCCGTGGACAGTCGAGCAGCTGGTTAAGTCACCAGAGTCATGTTGAGAAAAATTCACGACGATGCGTACATTGGATGAAAAATCCATGGTAGAATGGAATCTTTGTCTCGGAGTTAAAAAGGAACCCCAAAATCCTTCAAAGAATGTGGAGAAATCCCACGACGAGTACCCATCGGTAACGCAAGGTCCCTTAACTGGTTAAGAAAGTGCGCCCTCTGTTTTTCCACACGTCATGTTCACTTCAATGTTGATGGTTCGGTTACTCCAACTTTGCATGGAATCAAGAATGATTCATCTAGATCAGGCTTTGAAATTACTGTTCCAAATGTTGATGACGGAGCCATTGACCCTGTGGCCGCTCTTAAAACCTACATTGATAGAACTGGTTTAATCTGCCCTCAACAAAGTAGCCCAGTGTTTCTCACTCTTGTTAAACCTTTCAGAGCCATATCAGCCACCACGGTTGCTCAGATATTAGAGGAACCCATATTATTGGCCGGTCTCCCAAGAAGCATTTATTCTGCTAAGTCCTTCCGACCTACGGGTGCTACCAATGCTATGCGTACTCAGAATTCTGACACGGTGATGAAAGTTGGTCGTTGGAAAACTCAATCTGTTTTCCATGATCATTATGTCCATAGCAAGACCCGTCAGAGTTTTTCTGCAGATATTCTGAAACGATGTTCACTTTTGGGTTTAATATGAATCTCGCTATTTTGGCACAGTATTAAAATAACATTCAGTATAACAATATTACTTTGTGTCTTGTGTTGTGTCTGACGTAGGTTTCTATAAACTGTAGTCAGACAACAACACTTCGACACTAGAGGGCGCAGTAAACTGTGCCATTAATCCTCTCTGTTTAGTGCAAATGTTATCAAGTTGGTGTTCTTCTGACCTCTAACCCCTGTGATTATGTACCTACTAGTGTTGTCGTAACTGGGCAGAGTATGGCACAGTATTAAAATAACATTCAGTTTAACCCTTACCCTACTTGACCCTCCAACGCATGCCAATATGTGCCTCAAGAAAATCTCCTATGTTTTTTGCATGGCCCTCCAATATCTGCCATGTCATTTCAAGGGTAACTGGACAGGCACTCCAATACATGCCACAGAGAACAATGAGAGTCCTCTGATAACAAAGTGAGTGCCCCCAGCTGGTCAGTATCAGGCACCCTCCAGGGCCTCCAACTCCTGCCAATTGGAGCCTTCACTGTCAAGATAGTTTATCTGCCAATATACTGCAGCTGGAGGGCATTGGCATAACCAACTGACATGCAGTAAACTACCCTCAGAGAGTAAGGGTTAAAGGGAAGATACAACAATTTGCAAACATCGAAAAACAAAATGATCACATTATCACGAAATACCTTACTGGATTGTTAGGGAGTGGCAGTCTAAAGCATCCTGTAAAATCGTGGGCCCTGGTGTGCTGATATTTTCAAGATAAATTGTATTTTTCCAACGCTGGTCAGCCGACCAGCGTTGGAGAAAACTGGCTTATTTTTCAAAAACTGCTCCTAATTTTTCATATTCAGTTATTCTGCATTTTCTTTGCAATTGATTACACACCTAGAAGGGGTACAAACCTGCTAGACTGATTCCCTGACCTTACAATTCCCCAAAGTCTACAAATTGCTCTATTTAATCTTAAGTGGGGTCAGGGGACCAGACTACAAGAACTTGATTGTTTTTTTTTGGTTTTTCCAGCATCTATAAGCCCAAAAAGTGAAACAAGTCAGTTTATCAATATTTGCTATAACATACATGTACTAATCATCCAAATCCATTTATTTCTGAAAATTGCAGCAAAAGCATATGTTGTAGATTCCCTTTAACAATATTATTTTGTGTCTTGTGTTGTGTCTGATGTAGGTTTCTATAAAATCTTATTTCTCCATGTTTTGAATAAAAGGAATTTTATATATTGTTTTGGTATCGATTTTAGTTGTCAATTATAAAAAAATTCTTATATTGACAGCCAAAGGTGTACAAGCATGTGCACAGTCAGACTGGTGCATAAGAAACAATGTAATGTTTCCCCAATGGAATAACAATTTTAGTCGTAGTACATTACTTTATAAAAAGGATACGATATTATTGGTTTAACGTGTCCAAGGTTTTCCTTTTCAGACAGTACAAATCTTAAAGTGAGGGCAAACACCGACACCATATGAGCCGTCAAGGAAAGCAGGAAGATGAAGAAGAAGCGATAGTTGCGTTTTCCAATACAATTGTTGACCCAAGGACAGTGATGATCAAATTTCTGTTGAAAAAAAGGAGAGAGAAATTGTGAAAGCTTTAAAAAACAAGTCAGGTGTGTTTACAAACACAAATGCCCCGCAACCGTGACTGTTCCCATGACATAACACCACTCTTTTAACATCAACTTACATGAACCTTGGTCACATGGAACATTCATTGACAGCATTAGTGTCTTCTGTAGGTTTTATATGAATTAATCCCTAATCCCTATAATCTCAGAATAAATACAAGATTTCTATTGTTTTAGCCACTGTGAACTTGACCCTTGACCTTTTGGCCCCAAATTCAATAGGCTTCTTAGGATTACCAAGAACAATCCACAAACCAAATTTGAAGTTCATATGTTAAGTATTTCTCAAGTTATCGCGCTGACAAGATTTCTATTGTTTTAGCCACTGTGAACTTGACACTTGACCTTTTGGCCCCAAATACAATAGGCTTCTTAGGATTGCCAAGAACAATCCACAAACCAAATTTGAATTTCACATGTAAAGTATTTCTCAAGTTATTGCGCTGACAAGATTTCTATTGTTTTAGCCACTGTGAACTTGACCTTTGGCCTTTTGGCCCCAAATGCAAAAGGCTTCTTAGGATTGCCAAAAACAATCCACAAACCAAATTTGAAGTTCACATGTAAAGTATTTCTCAAGTTATCGCGCTGACAAGATTTCTATTGTTTTAGCCACTGTGAACTTGACCTTTGGCCTTTTGGCCCCAAATGCGAAAGGCTTCTTAGGATTGCCAAAAACAATCCACAAACCAAATTTGAAGTTCACATGTAAAGTATTTCTCAAGTTATCGCGCTGACAAGATTTCTATTGTTTTAGACACTGTGAACTTGACCTTTGGCCTTTTGGCCCCAAATGCGAAAGGCTTCTTAGGATTACCAAGAACAATCCACAAACCAAATTTGAAGTTCATATGTTAAGTATTTCTCAAGTTATCGCGCTGACAAGATTTGTCCGGACACACCCACCCACCCACCCACCCACCCACCCACCAGGGCATCCCCCTCTCTCCAATGATATGTCTGCTTATTTAATCCAGTCCTGGGTCACCTCAAAATGCTGAAAGTCAGTTTGGCTACAAATTAAATGGAACCCGTTACACATTCGCTCCATTTGCAGATGGCATTAACCTGATCACCGGGAACAAACACACGCATCAACGCCTGATTAAAGCCATGATGGTTTGAAATTCACCTGTCCATCCCAGATCTACACAGAATCTCACATATTAGCACATGCATCGTCTCGTTCACAAGGCGATCTGAAATGCCACACTGTTTTGGATGCAAAGGTGTCACATGAGTTGAAATGGAGCAATTGAACTCTTTAATTAATACACTATAAGACTTTTATTTCTTGTGGGCCACAAGCATTTCTTCTCATTTCCTGAGGAAAATCAAGATCACTGACTGCTTTTTATAACAAACAATGTAATGAATCATCAAACATGCTCTCAATTTCAAGGTCACACACATTTTCAAATGTACCGAACCGAACCCGAACAGAACCAAACCCAAATGTCGGTTTGGAAGAGTTCGGCAAGTATTTGTTGATAGCGCTAGGAATGCTAATGCTTGTAATGAAAGGGCAAAGATTAAACGCACGGATGATTGAAGTTACTGTGTTGACAAGTCACCACATTCATCTTCGTTATTTGCAGTGATCTACATGTAGCATGGCATACAATAGGATATTGGGCCGATACGCTTTGAAAAAAATTGTACGCGCCTTGTGATTTTCTCAATGAAAAGCGTGCCCTTATCTATGCATTCATCCAGCGTAGTCAGTATCTGGCCCTGCTGCGCCTCGTTCCAGCGTGACGTAGTACGTTTGGACCAAACCAATTGCGGTAAAGGGTGTGCTTTCCTCGGCAAAATTCACCAGCATGTTCAGTTTTTTTCACCATGTCAGAATTTAAAAAGAAATACTTTTTATGGAGTCTGAAACCTTTCCCATGTTCAGAATAAGTTTGTAATTTTCGCAATATATTTTTTTCATAAAGAATGTACATGAAAAACTATGGGAAAAAAGTTGTAATCTCCTACAAGAGGGTGAAACTCCCCTTTACAAAATGGATCCATCCACAGAATGAGAATTCATCATGGAGTCACGAAACTCAAAGTTATTATTTTTTTACGGCAGCTACTTGTCAACTTATTGCTAAAAATAATTATGATTTCATAAGTTTGGCACAGTTAAAGGACCTTTTTGTTCTTAGAACAGAACTAATCAGCAATTATTGTCAGGAAGCAAGTGTTTAGTGCTCATCAGGGCATGTTCGGATGGGACGTGTGGGAAAATGTTATCATGTGTCAGCACGTGTGGAAAAATGTTATCATACATGTAGTTGCCGGGCCGGATAGGGCTGCGATAGGTAACACGGTAACAATTGACCATGTTCATTTCTCAACGTCATCAAGTCAAATTATAACGAAATTTGTTGTTTACACAACAAAAATAAGATTCATCCTCCAACTTGTGTTGAATAGCATGTGCAAATCGCGGCGCCTATTTCTGTCAGACGTGCACGGTACACATGTTTGTTCGAACAGGGGAACCGTCTATGTAAATGCTTTTCATTATAGCCCAATACATTGTATGGACATGTATATTATTTATGGGCTTCCGAAGCCGAACCAAACCGAAGTTTGGAGAAAAAAAATTGAACCGCAACTGAACCGAACTTTGCGGATCAGTTGCAGCACTACCGAAATTTGAGGATCAGTTGCAGCACTACCGAACTTTGAGGATCAGTTGCAGCACTACCGAACTTTGAGGATCAGTTGCAGCACTACTTGAACAAAGATATTTTTTCAGGTGCCAGGGCGTTCGCTGCTTATCACGATTGCACAGTGGCCAGCCACGATGTAGTGTTGTCCAGGCATCGAGCATAAAAAGATTCATCAAGAGCAGCCTCTCTTCTTGGTTTTTAGACAGAGAGATAAACATTCAAACGTCGTCCCACTTCGATCCGTTATTCTTTCGCATCCGACGGAACAAAAACAAAGTTGAAAATTTCTTGACTGTCTCCCTTCACAAAACTTCCCTTTTATACCCATGATTTACATAATTTTGTTTCTAAATAATCTTTTAATACTCCTCTGTGACTGAAATTTCCTCCTCATTATAAATAATGTGTATTTACCAATTATTCGATTGAACGCCCTGTACCGGCCGTGTGACAGTGGCAGTATGTACACCTGAACACATACAACAAAAGATGGTCTGGTTTTTACCTCATCACACAAAATTGATTGAAATCGCCTTGTCTACCGGACAGTATACCAGACTTGGAATTGCGTTCTCTCACTGTATGTGTTTAATGCAATTGTTAGGGTTCTGACGTGGTTTATATGCAATAAGTTATACAACTTTGAGCAAACTTGCCAAATGTTCTATAACTATTTTGTTATCATTCTTTTGTAATGAATAAGAGATAATGCATATACTGTCAAAATATTAATAAGTTTGCACTGTGGTTACACGGAGTTTGGAGTTTAAATTTGCAGAGACCATTTATGATTTCATTAAAACAACAAAGTTGCGCCTTTGCAGTCTGCTGGAAAATTCTCAGCTGTTCATTTGGGTCTTTTACTGAATTTGAAATGAGACAGCCGCCTATCAAAATGAAATATATTTTCATAAAAGCTGGGGAAAATGCGTAGAAAAGCTGCGAGAATAGGCAGAAAGTGTTGGAATCCAACGTTCAATGTGAATTCCGTTATGAACAAGGTGTCAGAAAATGTTAAAAAGTCATGCTTTTTTTTAACGTTTGGGAAATTTCTCATTTTTTTTGCAATGAAAATGAATTCCCTCAGAATTTCTTCAACTTTAGGAGAAACTTGTCAAAAACAGTAATGACTGACGTGACCATGAACTCAGTTGCTGTACGTTCCGAGTCATGACACAAATTTCAAGTGTTTGTGGAACTTTCCTGGTGTTTTTGGAACTTCTGAAATATTTGCACATGAGATGTTGAATTAAGTACATGACTTGTATACTGATTTGTTTGTTGTTGACTTTTCACAGTTAGATATTTCCCTCTAGAGAATCTGGTATACATGTACCTCACCGATAGAAGACTACTTCCAGTGGTTTGTGATTATTTGGGTATTGTTTTAAATATATTGTTTTTGCATTTCTGACTTTTGTTTTAATAAGTTAAAATGTTTACAATTCAGGTTGCTTTCCTGCTGCAAATCCAAAACCAAATTACAACTCACAGGATGTTTGTATTCTTATGGTCATATAAATATCATTCTTAATGCCTTTGATACTAATAATATATTGCATGGTTTGTTGAAACATATTTCGTCCCCCTCCCCCCAAAATAAATCATCAACATAGGCCAAGTTCGCGCAAGGACTATAGTTGACCAATGGTTAACTAACGTTTGCCCGAACTCTGTCTAGTCAACGGTGGTTGACTACGCTAGTCGACTATTTGGAACCAGCCTACTGGGGTTGGTTGCTTCGCTGGTAACCAATAGCCGCGCGCATTCATGACGCTAGCAGAGAGCCAGGATCCAGAAGTTTTGCGATGACATTTTGACCAGCGTTTGACTAGAGACGTTCGCACGTTGCTATCAGTGCGCAGGCGTCAGGTACGTCACAAATCAACCACTAGTCGACTAATGGTCCTTGCCCGAACTTGGCCATAGACATGATCTTTAATTCTGTTATTTCAAAGTGTCTTCCAATTTTACAAGTCATCTTATCATTGTTCTGCTTACTACATTGCATCAATGACATTGTGATATGATGATCTCAATGTTGCGCCATCAGTTTTGATTGTTCTAATCCACTGTCTTTTTGTTGGGTTCGTCAATATTATAGCAATTTGATTTAGAGTTCATTACTGCTCTACTCAAATTATATTGTTGTGCCATTGTATAATGTTTCTTGTTGTTTCAATTCGCTGTCTTCTTGTTGCTTCAATTCGCTGTGTTCTTCATTCGCTGTTTTCTTGTTGCTTCCATTCACTGATTATCGCACTTATATTTTGAGTTTCGAGTTTAATATCATATTCAATCCTTTACCTTACCTTACCTATCCTCTTCATGCCGGCTGGCACATAAGGCCTCCACACTCTTCTTCCACTGTCTCCTGTCTTTTGCTTTATTCCGTGCCTCATTCCATGACTTCCATCCAAGATCTTCCCTTTCCTTTTCCACTGTTCTACGCCATGTTGTTTTTGGCCTGCCAACTTTTCGTTTGCCATCTGGATGCCATGTCAGAGCAGTCCTGCGATGGTGCTCCTTCTCTTTTCGCAGTATTATCCAGTTCCATCTCCTTCTTTTCACTTCCAGTCTAATTTTATTTACTTCTGTCATGTTGTTGAGTTCCTCCATTAAGATGATGTTGGGCCAAAATATTTGCATGATTTTCTTCAGGCATTGGTATTGGAATGAGTCCAGTTTCTTTTCGTCACTTCTGTTCATTTTCTAGGCTTCGCATCCATATAGTAGCACTGGTCTAACAATGGTTTGGTAAAGCTTGATTTTTGTTTGCCTGGTGAATTGTTTTGACGTCCAAATTTTATTCAGCTTCCTAAATGCAATTCTTGCTTTCTTTATCCGGCTGTTCATGTCCTTTCCTCCACCTCCTTCTTTGCCCATATTTGCCCCAAGATAGGTATATTCTTCCACATCCTCTCTGTCTTTTCCATTTAGCTTAACAGTTTCTGTTTTCTTACTATTCAGTCTCATGATCTTTGTCTTCTTTTCATTGATTTTCAGGCCCACTTTACTTGCAAATCTGGTTAGGTTGTCAGTTTTCTTTTGTATGTGAGAATGGCTGGCTGACAATAAGGCGATGTCATCAGCAAAGTCTAGGTCTTCAAGACTGGACATCATCCTCCATCTTATCCCTGTGTTACATTTTTGGGTAGTCCTTTTCATTACCCAGTCAATCACAAGCAAGAATAGAAACCCTGACATCACACATCCCTGTTTCACTCCTGTCTTTACATGAAACCATTCTGTGACCTCGCCATCCTCTACTACTGCACAGATACTATCACTGTACATTGCCATAATAACTTTGATGAGTTTTCTTGGAATCCCGTACTGTCTCATTATTTCCCAAAGGCTGTCCCTGTGAATCGAATCAAATGCCTTCTCAAAGTCAATGAAGTTTATGTATAGCGATGATTGCCATTTAACATGTTCAATGGACTGTTCTATAATATTCCTTAATATGAAAATCTGTTCCGTTGTGTTTTCCTTTCTATGAAACCTGCTTGTTCTTGTCTGAGCTTATCGTCAATTCCGGCTTTGATTCTGTTGATTAGTATCCTGCCCAACACCTTGCTTGCAATTGGAAGTAGCGTGATTCCTCGCCAGTTCCCACATTCTGCTAAGTCTCCTTTCTTAGGCAGTTTTACAATTAAACCTTTCTTCCATTCATTTGGTATTTGCTCGTGATTCCAAACATCACTTATTATGCTGTGCAACTTATCGGTTGCCATATCAATGTCTGCTTTTAATAACTCTGATGTTATCTGATCCACTCCACCAGCTTTTCCATTTTTGAGCTGTTTGATTGCACGTCTTACTTCGTCTTTATTGATAGGATTGTGTTGATGTTGCCTAGTTCACCAATATCTTCAGATTCAGTTTCGACTGGAGTTGTTGGGGATTCTCTATTCAGAATTTCTTCAAACTGTTCTTTCCATCCTGCTTTTCTTCCTGCATCATCAGTTATGATCTTTCCATGTTTGTCTTTAACCCCTGATGCATGGCGTGGTTTGTGGTTGCATATTGTTTTTGTTATGTCATACAAAGTCTTCATTTGTCCATTCTCTGAAGCTCTCTGTGCTTCATTTGCTAAATTTTCCACCCACTTCCTTTTGTCGTTTCTCATACTAGTCTTCACTTCTGTATCCTTGGCTTTATGTTCTTACTGAATGTTTTGTTTTATCCTGGTAGAGCTTGTCCTATCCATTTGAATTTTGATGTGTTTTCTTTCTTCAGCTCTTTACCAAGATGATGGACTGATCCATGGTTTTTGATTCTTTTTCTTGGTGCCTAGAACTTTCTTAGCTGTCTCGTTGTATGTCTTTTGAATATGATTCCATTTTGTATCGATGTCGGGTTCATCGAAAACAGCTTCCAGCACTGCAAATTTATTTCTCAGTTCAAGCTTGAATTTGTTCCTGATTTCTTGATCCTGTAGCTTAGCGTTGTCATATTTGGCTCTTGTATTTGATCTGCGGGTATGTTTCTTGAGTTTAAGTTTGATTTGTGTCCTTACAAGTTGGTGATCACTAGCAGCATCTGCTCCTCTCATTGTCCTGGTGTCACATACTGAAGATCTGAATTGCTGGTTGACCAAAACATGATCTATTATCCTTTATGCTAACGATATTCATGTTGTTCAAGTTGAGGCATCAAATGACAAAAATGACGGAAATGTCTTTAAGCATTCCATAATCTCTTTAAAGGTCTAGTCCATCATTTGTAATTTCTGCATTTGGTCCGTTTGAAGCAACAAAAGTGCTCAAAATCTAAAGAAGGGTACTGAACAACTAACCTGATGAAGTTTCAGCTCAGCTTCAGCTGTATATTTCGAGAAAAACAGCATTCTAGATCTCGATTTCAAATCAAAAGTTGCTGAATCATGTTTTGAATTGGGCCTGAATTCATCGTCCGAGACACGTTCTCACTGAGCCGATTGCAGCTACGCGATGTCGCGCACCGATCTGACGAATTATAGCAACCGCGCATGCGTGTGCATCTTGCCAAAGCTTGCCTGCGCTTCGCCGAATAAAAAAAACGAACTAGTAACGGAAATCTCCAACGGTGCGTCTTAACCGTTGGAAAGGTCTTCTTTCGTTGATTTCTTCAAAATGACAGCTTGCCCCAGATTTCACAGGGAGTTTAGTCCCCTTACTATCTTTCAACCAAGTATGTTTTTCAACAATAATTGCGTCAGTTACTTTTTGGATAGCTGCAAATGATGGACTTCAATGGCATGTGTAATAATTATACTGTGTGCATCTGGGGCTGAAAATTTGATCAGCAATTTTTGTCTGTGTATTGGGCTGCAATTCGAGTGTATCACACAAATAGGCATGTTAGCACATGGGCAAAACCCCGATTGAGCAACTTGAATAAGAGAAAAATGTCTGCATGGTGAAACAGGAATGAAACAGGAATTTTAGCTTGCCCCCAAATAAAGGACCAAACACATGAAAATACATCTATTACTTACCTCAATACAATGATTACACACACTACAATGAGAACTCCTTGGAGGGCGATAGAAACGACAGGTTGCACACCATTTCATTCGCACCTGAATTCCCTGTATCTCAGCTGTTTTATAAAGTGGCGCACGAAAATCCTCATCTCCATCTTCATCCCCTTTTGCTGAAATAACATTAATCAAAATACAAGGTACTTCAAGTGCTAAAATATATGAAATTATTACCAACCACATGGTGACCAAGCAAAATTAGTACACAGGGAGCATTGAACAAGGGTAAAAAAAGGCAATATTGCCAAACTGCTACCAAATTCACAACAGATAAAATACGTGTACATGTACAACAAATTCAGGGCCAATTGAACCACGGATCCTGCACGCAAGAATTAAGGACTCGGCCAAACTCTTGGTTAGACGCATAATAACGGCCCGTACAGGTGGGAATACCAAAAATACGTCAACAAAGACCCCTGCGCGCACAGCGGCTTTCAGATTTGCAGGGCTCTGCGCCCGATCTGGTGTTGAAGTCTGTCAAGCCAGCTTATTATATTTTTGAATATGCATGATCCTACATTTTTTGCCTTTATTATTGAATTCTGATGAGTGATAACTACATAACCATGTTAACGCTGAACACAATATCTTTAGCTTTAAAGTGAACATCGAAATGTCACATTTGTTTCATCGGTTTGAGATCACATCTCATTTTCATCTACAACGTTTTAATGAAAGCCTAATTAATGAATTAATGAGGTTTGGGTAAACAGTGTTCTCCTCGGAAAAGGTGTCACATTGATGTTTATTTCTTGGATAAATGCAAAACGCAACAGGCTTGTTAGGATTACCAAGAGCAATCCACAAACCAAATATGAAGTTCATATGTTAAGTTTTTCTCAAGTTCACCGTCAATCGTGGACATCCTATTGTCCCTCTTTTGTTTGTACTCTAACTTTTTAGGAAGACTCCCATAGGTTTTGTACACGACCCCAATCGCGGACGTATGCTGGGAATCGAGGATGATGTTATTCTCTTTTGTTCTCTGGTATTTTTCGTCCACGGTTTGAAAAGATGAACACGTACACCCATACATACACACACATGTTTACGTTACATACCAAGTGTGGATATTCCCTTGGTTTCGTGTAGTTAACAAAAACCTCTGAAAAAAATAATTTCACTCTCACTGTGAAAACTCTTTGAATCCAATTTTTTTTTCTATGATTCCCTTTAGTGTTTTTCTTCATTTTGCCACTGATAAACCTAACCCAAAAATGCCTCTAAACCTGTTTTCCAGAAAGGGGGAAACACTGTGTGGACTTGCCCACGTCCAAACAATGTTGCCTCTACCTGGTTTATGTAGACCTCTTTTGTTCGGAAGTCCACATAGTGAATGTAATGCTTACCCATATCAAGGGAATTTTATTGATAACAATGGCACCACATGAATAACATACAATGTAATGCGGCAAGTTGCCAAAACTCAATAAAGAACTTAAACGGAGGTACAATGAAAACTCACAGAATTAAATAAATCGATCATTAAAAGGAGCAACATACTGACTGTACAAAACCGGACAATAGATACTAAAGTGGTAGTGTGAAGTGGAAAACAATACCTAATACAAACAAACGTACATGTATACAGATACGCTTGTTTATGGTGTAAAGCGAAAAATAAAACCAACATTATCAATATGAAGCATCTGAAAGGACGGAAATGATATATGGAGTAAACAGGGGTCGGATCAGATAACACAATCCGAATCGCAATGGGGTTACACAGCGAAGGACAGAATGAGAGCTAGAAAACAAACACAAGCATAGAGCTGGAGGTCTGGCGCCAGGGAAATTCACTGTGTCACTGAGCCATCATCACACCCCTCATCTTCCAGACAATGGATGAGCCGATGCTGACACTTAGGCATAAGAGACGCGATCATGTCCGGGTGCGCTCTTGCTTGGCGTTGACTTCATTGCGGCACGTACTTCTTCTTCTGTTATAGGCTGAACAAGGTGCGTAGAATCGTCTGGTGGTTGCAGAGTTACCCGACCTTTCCCTGGTGCATTGTCGAAACACTGAAACAATAGTCCCAACATTTGGGTTTCGTGTTTTTTGACTCACCCAGTAGTGAGCAATGTTTCATGGATCGCATTGTGCTTGTTACAAAAAAAGACTATTTGTAGTACAATAAACATACATTACCTTTAGGGAAAACTCCAGGGTCAACGAATGTAGCCAGTAAAAAATTGAGGAAAACCACAGAGAACAGAAGAGCTGAGTAAACAGCAATAGCTGGGTGAATTGTGGTGACCAACTCAGGCAATCTGTTAAGACACAGAAAATTAATATGTCATCTCCAATCAATGAATGCTTTCCCCCACAAGGCAATGTTTATGGAGAAACCACATGAGCACCAAGCTTGCCAGGGTCAGCTGGCTGTTTTGAATATGATAATATTGAAACAGGTACAACAATTGTATGTTGGAATTTTGCACTGGGAGAGTAAATTTGATATTAGTTTTGTGGTATCCGCTATCGTAGTAACTTGCTAGCCAGCTCCCGGCAAGTTTGGTGTTCATTTGGTATGCACTGCTTATAAATGTCAGAGTTGTATGATTTTTACTGAACTATTTTTTCGTTTTACAGTTCTTGAACAAGTAAAAGTAATGTTTTTCTTGAACACATTTTCATTCATTATGAGGCTGTCTAAACCAAATTCAGGTTGAGAATGTCCCATTATTATATCAAGTAAATAAAAGATGCCTTTTTGGGACTTGAGTTACAGAGCTCGTATCAGAGGCTTGCGACACCATCGTGGTGTCTTTATCAACTGGTGTTGTTCAGGCCCTCATGTGACCCGTCACGTGACCAAGCCTGGGTGCACGACAGGAGGCAGTTGTACATATGGGCCAGCTTGTACCCTCCAACTCAGAGCCGCATTGTCAAAAAGATATCTGAGGCCAAGTTACCATTTTAACACAGCATTCCTGGAGCCGAGTTCAATGCTTTCCAGAATTTGAAAAATGACAATTAATCAAGATATTACCAGCTGACAAAGGGAGAGTGACCGTGGTGATGAACAGTGAAGACTATCACAGTAAGATCACAGGTTTATTGAGTGACAGTAACACTTATTGTAAACTAAAGAGAGATCCCACATACCAAGTTTAAATCCAAAATGATTGCTATTTTGAGGAAGTGGCAGAAAGGTTCAAACCCTCTTCCTGCGGTACTGTACCACAAAATGTACTCTACAACAGAGGAGGTACCAAAACTGTCTGGCTTGCCTAAGCTCCACAAGAATGGTGACCCCTCCACCCAATCGTGTCATGCATTGGCAGCATTACATACATACAACTAAGCAAACATCCTGACTCCATTACTTGGGAACACAACTCATCACATCAAGAACAGCGCTGACTTTGTGGACAAACTTGCAGACCTCAAAGTACCAATAGGTCCCACGATTGTGTCATATGGTCATTCCACCAGGTTGAGACAGAACCATTATAAAGGGCGTACTTTAGTCCACAAGAAAGCAGTGCTGTTCTTTAAAAAAAGTGCGACTATTTGTCTACTTCTATGTTTGAGATTTATTGGCTTTTCCGCATAGAGCGGAAAGGCCTTTCTTTTTGTTAAGATTTTTCTTTCTGCTTCTTCTTTTTGTCACCTAAACCCCATAGACTTTGTACACGTCTTTTCTCAACGCCACTTTTGGCATTTAACTTTGTCGTACATAATTCAAATCCCCCCCCCCCCCCCACAGAAGTGTTGTTGGGGTCTACGAGCGAATACTTACCTGTAGAGCAATACTACTTTTGCATATTCCCTAGACCGGCAGGTATTTTCCGCAAAGAGTTTTATACAATAGCACCCTCTGGTGTCCTACCCATAATGCCCCGTGGCGTGCGTACCACGTGAGCATCCTCTTTTCTCGAGCGTTAAGTCGGAATACAAAATGTACTCTTATGGCATCGAGAAGAGTGGGGTAGGGGGATGGATGCTCTACAGGTAAGTATTCGCTCGTAGACCCCAACCACACTTCTGTGGAGGGGGGGGGGGGGAGTCTACTTCACTCTACTTACCTGTAGAGCAATACTACTTTTGCATAGACTAGCACCATCAAGGTGGTGGGTCATGCGAGATGCTATTGTGCTTTCACAGGGGCACGTAACACGACACGTAAACCCCGGATGGGTCCCGTTGCTCCACATGTGGACAAGGCAGCCCAAAAGTTCTGCATGATAAGGACATTAACCATTAACATGCTGACTGAGACGCGGTCCCCGATATGGGGCATTGCGCGTAATGATGATGACATACGACATATAGACACTGTTATATGTACTGAATTAAAGAAAGATTCAGAGTCAGGAGACATCAATTCTGGGGAGGTCACCAGTCTGAAAATGTCTCGAGAACATGTTGGGGTTCAGTCAGTTGCCATCAACACTGTTCTCCCTATCTCTGCCTAATATTGTGCACACGGGCCGATCACACAGCCTCTGCCGTTGATATGCCTGTGGTTCCATGGATGACCATAACCAACCCTCAGGCAATCTCGTCATAAAAAGCCTGCATGCAGGTATGGTGAGGTCGTCCTGATAAAAACATGTCGTGAGAAGCCTGCTGGTATGGCAGGGTTATCATGACAAACACGTGTCGCGAGAAGACTGCCATTATGGCAGGGCTGTCTCGACAAATACATGTATAGTACATGAAACTGCAAGTGATCGATTCAAAGCATCCCTGTGCAGCTTATGTACGACGTCACAGTCATGATCGGCACCAAAATTCTCCGTCTGGAACGGAAAAGAGTAATTTGATGCCTGGAACAAAGACGTCCGGAGGCACAAAGGACTCCGATGGTCTTAGTTCAAAATCCTTCCGTAGGAATCGGACGGGCACACTCAGTCCACACCAGGTGTGGTCCGTCTCTATTATACAGCAAGCAGTTTTTTTCTACATATACATCTAGAAGCAGGGTTCTCCCCACGTACAAACGTGCGTATCGGCCCGATACGCTGGAATTGCGGCCCGATACGCTGACAAAAATGCCGATCACATTTTTCAGCCCCCGATACGCAAAACATAATTATTACGCAAGCCATTAAAATGCACAACCTAATCGTTATATATATGTCATTATTTCATCTTGACTTGCAAAATCTTGACAAAATCTCGTATTTCTGATGCATGTGTGATCAAAATGCACACGATGACGGGTCTTTCGCGTCGACCGCCAGCACCCAGTTATATACTAGTGCATACAGCATGGTACACTGGTTCCCTCCGCGTGCTAACAGTATCAATGCTATGATGAAGGACCGGAAACAGTGACTACTGCCTCATGCGTGCATACATGATGATGATGTCGGCTGAAGTTGGATCGTAAACACCAAACAAACATCGATGGAGAAAGAGAATTTCTGCAAATTAATTCACAGAACGTGATCTTTATTTTCTGTGTATGTCTTTTCCATTAAAATGACGAGATTGCAAAGCTCAAACTTGTGGCGAAACATCGTAGCGTGCTTCTTAGAAGCAGTAGTGCAAAATTTTCGGCCACGTGGGATGGGCCGTACACAGTGCAGTAATGCACACTGATACTGCGCCGTGAGCACGGCGCGATGTACGGCCGGCCAGACTGAATGTTGACGGCGCCAGGGGCCGTGATGTACGTTAAGCATATAGTGGAATCAACCACCTCAAATATATTTTTAATTAGGTGAGGCAAGTTTTAATCACTTTTGATGGTCAGCCTTGATAATTTTTGTGGTGCAAAGGAAAATAATCCAGGCACAAAACTACATGATTCCTTGTTCAATATGCTCCATTCAATCATGTGTTTTTATTTCTCCATGATTCAATCAGCAGCCCAAAAAATTGGAGAAATAATTTTTCCGACCTACCGACGCTATTTTGAAAGGCATGTAATCGGAAGCAAAAGTGATTTTTTTCTTCACCTTAATTTCTTAATTTGAAACTTGCTTGTAAATATAATCCATACTTTCTAGATCAGGAAGTTTTAACACAGGTTTTGAAATGTTGATTTTTTTTTAAAGTTAAAATTTTGATAAATTATTGTCTTTCTTTAATTACAAAAAATACCACAAGATCTCTAAATTTTAAGGAGAAATCTTCCCTAAAGACTCCCAAGATTTGCTCTAAAATGCACCAGAGAGCCACTAAAGTTTAAAATTTTTCAGGGCCCTTGAGCCACGTCATGGCTTCGCAGGTTGGTGAATCAGAACAAAACTTCCCCCACAGGATTGAAAAAATCCTGGGGAGAACCCTGAGAAGTAACAACTGCTAACAAAAAGTAAAATTAGGAACAATTGAAACATATATGAAATTGCCCACTGGCTCAAGGAACTACATGGTTATAACCCTGGGAAACCAATCAATGGGACCAACATGGAGTAAAGAGGAGGACCTTGTCATCTTTCTGCTCCAGTTGCTTTAGTACCTGAGGGATAGGAGGAAACGGCGGGAAGGTGTAAACAAGCAGCCCGTCCGTCTCCATCATGAGTGTATTCGTCTGCCACGTGCAGGGGTCAGGAACCCTTGCGTAGTACACTGGAAAAATGTGACTAATTAAACAAGCAGATTGACATGGTTAGTGGTTTAGCAGCTACCATTGTCGAGAGGATCCATCCCCCTAAGGAGTAAGGAGGACATTAGAAGCGACGTTCTCCTTGTTTGGGAGGGGAATAGTCAAAAGCACGAAACTGCCATGACAATTAGTGAAGGCTGTGATCTGTGAGGCACACCCCTGTGAGGTTGGCAGCGTTGAACCATCACTGGAGGCGCTGCACAAGTCAGGGCATGACCTGCACTGGATGCAGTGATGACTGTGCCGACACAAGGAAAATAGGTGAACGTCACCACTCTCCATCTCCGCAGCGCAGCCCAATTGCCTTTACTATCTGAGCAGATGCCAGGAGTGAGGCGAAAAGGCTGAGCGGGACCACCATGAATTTGCAGCGGGAATCTTTGTTTTTCGAAACCGCGAAATTCCCAATGCTCTGGCCTGATTTGGAGGCCTGCATTGGAGAGGGAAGGTGTGACAACAAAATTACCAAATTCGCTAACAGAAAACAGTATTTATCACATTCTTGCTTGTAGAGCAACAGGCATCTTGGATGCAGGCACAATCTTGTGAATGTGGTCCACACATGCCTGATCTACGGAAGCATCACAACAAGCAGTCATAGAGGTTATGTTCAGGCTGGAGTTCATTGTGAAGGTCAGCTGTCATCCGATGAACCCAACCTTGTCCCCAGTGCTTACTTTATTTCCAACCGCATTTCCCTGGATAGGAAACTTTCTTCCTGTATCCTGATTCGATACCGCAATTGGCTAGAAATTTATTTTTATCGTGTACTTGGTGTTGTTATTCAAAACGTGCAATACGTGTTTTCGCGATCATTCGTCCACGCCTTCTCAAAAATACTCATTTCCTTTCCAATTTGTTCATATAAATATGAAATAGATACTGCATGTTGTTTTGATAAGATCGTAACAGTTTAATTGAATAAATCGTGTTTTCGTAACTCACGCCATGCTCACACTGCGACGAATTGACTCTGTTTTTACCCCAGACACCGCATACAAAAACAAGCGCTAATGTAACGCATATCCAGGCACCAGACTGTTCCTCATTTGCATAAGTGTTCAAAAATCTTGCACATGCAAATGATCCAATACCAGGGTGCCGATGAACCATCCTTATGCAAGGGCCGAATTGACTCTGTAAACGAGAACCGTCTATTACATCTGGAGGGAAAAGTTGTACACGGCCACAGTCAGTGGTCAAACAACTCCCTCAGAGACAATGCAAATTACAGTTTAACAACTGGATAACAAGGTCCTTGGGACTTTACAAATAACCTTGTTATAACAAGTACTTTGTACAGAAGAAAACAAAGAAAATCAAAAATTTGGAACTTAACATTTTCCCTGTTACATGTATAAGCACGATGTTGTATTAACAGTGCTTTTCTTATCAGGGTTCGACTGTACATGCACATGCACACTAAACACTGTGCAATGTACATGTTCCGGTACATGAAAAATTGCAGCGATTTCAGACTTTCAGTGCAGGCAGAAACACTGATGCACACATGTGCGGCATGTCCCTTTGTCCTCAAGTCACCCAACCGTGACAACTGTGGAGGGCTACAGAGCATGGCTCGCAACTCAGACGGGCCGTTTCATGAACGGTGCCCGCCAGACAATAGGCGCATAGAGCCAACAATGAACTCGGCAATGTAGCCGAGAACAATTGTAAGGCTTGCAATGAGTGGACCCAAACAACCGCGTCCTCATCCCGGCTGTGTTTGCCGCGGTGGGATCGGTGCAAAAAATCGCCCGAATTTGATCGAAGAAAAAGGAGAACAAATCGGGTGCAAAAAATCGCCCAAATTTGATCAAAGAATAAGGAGAACGAATCGGGTCGTACGAAAGTAATCCTATTCCCGCGTGAGAAATGGACGCCATTTGTCCATTGACAAAATGTCGATGTATTCCACACACACTTGATCCAAAGGAAGTTTGGGGAACACTTCGTCATTGTTAGATGTGAAGCCCGTCGGCTCATTGGAGGGTAATGTACCCGTATCATGTCCCTCTACACAAAACGGACTTCTGTTTCTGTGATGGACAGCCGCTGTAATTGGTCTGGTTCTTCGCTATCATCGGCTGAGTCAGCCGATTGCGAAGATCGAGTTGACTCCGGTGAATGAGAGCTGTTTGGAGGGGCGAGTTGTACAGAACCATGCGGCAGTGGCTGGACAACTCCCTCGGAGTAAATAGACATCGATGGGTGAATACTCAACACATGCGGGGATCCCAGCGCATGGCTAACTGCGTGCGGTAGGTCCCATTGTCTCCGGTCCATCCAACCATGGCCCACGGCCGGCGAATGCCATAGGCTGTGCCTCCGGTGCACGCAACCATACGTGGTATCATCCTCCGGTGCACGCAACCATACGTGGTATCATTGTACATTGTGTACATGTACAAATGAACATGTGCAAATGAACATGTGCCTGTACAAGTACATGCACACGTGTATCTCGTTGTGCTTTGGCCACCTAACCGTGACCAACGAATGACTTGAGAGACCTGAACACGACTTTTGCAGGAATTGATAGAATAATCCATGGTCTTCATTTTTGATATTATGTGCAAAATCATGTGACCCTTCCTTCTGGTTGAAACCGGAAGTGCCTTGTAATTTAAAATTGGTGAAAGATGTGAAATTGCTTTCAACGATGTATGCTCTGGCTAAGTTATTTACAAAAAATATAGTTAGTTATAGATGAAAATTTGTGAGGTGAGATGTCATGAAAAGGAGTTATCGGGTTTACCGGTTTCCAGTAATTGGCCGTCAAACTATAAATGTCTTACATTTCTGAATTTAGTAGTTAGTCAAAATGTAAGGAATGTTTTGTAGCCCAAGTTAAACGTGAATACATGTTAACTGCTTTAACCCTAACCCTGCCAGACGCAACACAGTGCATCAGGTGGAGAAGTCTGGTGCACTTTGATGCATTCAGCTACCAACACCAGTGCATGCACGGCCAGCTCTGAAACAATGAGAGCCCCATTTAACAATGCCACAGTTGTATCCTGCTGCATTCAGTGACCACAGACTCTGAGGCAGTTTGGCCTCGAGACTTTTGACCTGATGGATCTTGCTACACTGGGCAGGCTTGTCACTTAGACAAATGTTGCATGTTGCTGCGTTTGGCAGGGTTTCTAGCCAAAATACCCTGGAGGGATAGGGTTAATGAAGCCTTGGGAAATCATAATTTATTAGCCATGCAGTTATTAACTTTCATTACTTTTGGCTAAAAATGTAAACATTTAAATGGTTCTTTAAATATCTCCTAAACATTTACAAAATTAAATGCAAAGTCACCTCCTTAGTCGGTGTTTGGTTTTGCCCTTCACCAACGTATAAACACTTTTTTTGTATGCATTTTTTGTATGAAAGTTGGAACAAAACGCTTGGGTGCGACTTGACCCGAGGATCTCCTACTTTCTAGTGTAGATGTCTTACCACACGATCACCCACCCGATCAGTTGGCATGGAAAAACCTAATATTGAATTTCCACCACCCCAATGCAAAAATGTGATAACTGCAATAAATACAGCCTAAAATTGGTAATTGAGCACGTGGCAAATCATCAGATTGTGGGGTTTTACGTTTTTCTGGTGCACTAGTACAAGTTACAACTAATCCAAACCTAGGTCCCAGTTACTTGGCCTAATGGGTCACTTAGAAATAGACCCATGGTATCATGCTCATGGCATTCTTCTTGAGAAAATCACCTGCATTTTAGTAAAATTTACTTACGGAAATGCGAAGAAAAGAGTTGTAGTACATATCAGCACGATGTAAGCAACTGTTACAGGAACATACTTGGTTGAAGGCTTGAATTTCTTTTTGCAACAGGACATTGTGACTACACTGTAAGCTGAAAGACAAGCATTTTAAAGAAAAACAATTAATAGCCTTGACCTTAATATGGTAGGGAGGGGGTTATTTTCTACCTCTTGTTATTGAGCAAAAATCTTAGCTTCAACTGTTGTTGATGCTATTGCTTCAAATAAAATAGTTACATGTACATGGTCATGTTATTAGTATTTATTTAGATCTCACTCCCATTTACAGCCACCAGTGCTTGTTTTCCTTATCTGGTGGAATACTCCCGCTTTTACTTTCCCTCGTAGCACAGGCATAGCCAGGAATTTGGAATTGGGGGGGGGGGGGGAGCAGGTCTGACCGGCCTTTTCAAACTCCAATGGACCTCTCTATTAGTACCTTTGTTGCCTGCTGCCTCTATTAGTACCTTTGTTGACTTTGTTACCTGCATGTATTCAAATTTTCACACCTTTAGTTTGTGCCACACAGTATAAAGATGTCTTTGTCTTTGTCTTCAACTATAGTAATTTAAAACCGGTCAAGCAACGAGGTTTGGACCATGATCAGAAGACTCAAATCGTCACACCTGGCGCGGATCCAGGATTTCTTTAACAGACGGGGGCACATCCACATCGTCGGGGCGTTTGCAAGCACGGAGCGCATGGGGTCCACCACCCCTCTATGGGCAGGGAAAATTACGCATTTTAGATGCTCTGTGGTGCAATCTGAGGTGATTCCTGGCCACTTCTGCTTATTTGAGCAAAAGTTTTTAGAATTATAAGGATTTTGTTTTCAATTGTTTAGAAAATTCTTCTGCTTTTACAAGTTTTCAGTAATACATGTACTTGTGTACCTTAAAATTGAGAACCATGTACTTTGTCTGCATATTTGTTGGGATTTTTTTTTTTTTTTTAAAGGAATTGTATTGACTTAGTTGGTAATCTGTTGCAAGAATGCGTAAGGGCATTTGCTCCGAGGACTAATGCAGCAGAGCGCGAATCCCTTATGACGTGGGGTCTGGGGCCTGCTTAAGAATCCGGGCCCCTTAAGCGAATTGAACAGGAAACTCCAGTTGGACTCTGTTGGATTTAGCAGGGTAGTCCTGAGAAAATACTAGTGGGGTAGGGTTTCAGATGTAATTTGTGTCAGGTTTTGGCAAAAAAAATTACAGATTTATTTTATACATATTAAAGTTCTTTGTTTTTACAACAGGGGGCCATGGCCCACCTTGGCCATGCCACTGCTCAGTAGGTCTAGGCCTACTTAAAAAAAAACCCAAATATCCCCAGAAACAAACAAAACAAAACTATGCACCCGCAAAAGGGGAGGACATGGATCAAAAGTTGACTGGAGCTTATTGATTAGAAGAGGCAGGTAGAATTTGGTCTAACATTAATGTTAAAAGTGTTGTTTTTTAGGACTTAATAGTTCCTTAAAATCACAATTTCGTTATGCGACCAAAAGCTTGCATGAGGCTGCAAAAGTCCTTTTGAAATTCAAAGTCATTTGCAAAAGTAATTTGTGAACAGAACAAGTAAAAGTTGAACGGAACTATAAAAGAAAAAATTAGATGTGTACAAACTACACTTTTACTAGTTTATCATGCTCTTGTAATTATGGATTGGCTTTTTTTGCTTCTAGAGCCTTACTAGAGCCAGTGTTGTAGGTCTCAGGACCATTTGGAGACCTATTTTTGCGGTCTCAGTCTTGTCCTATTAGAGTCTCGGTCATTGGAAGAGCTGGTCTCGGTCATTAAAGCGCTGGTCTCGGTCTCTGATGCCAAGGTATTTAGGTGTCACCAATTGAGACCACAACAAAATGCACCATCTACGTGTGGCTTTATTCATTTGCAAGCTGAACTACATGTGAGTCTAGTCTTATTCCAAACATAAACAACATTGCAAGTTCAGGTTTTCACGATAAAGAATGACATACATTGTAAAGCTGAAATTGAGACCAGTCAATGCAGCTTGCCGATTCGGAGCACTGGTATCAGTGCCTTCTCACTTAGGTTGCCCATGTATTTCATTGGCACACATCATACGGGCTCCGACAACCAGTATGTGCTTGAGAAATGTATGGTAACCTGTTTCAACTTTCTTTTTACAATACAATACAATAAAACTTTATTATCCCATTGCGGGAAATTCCATGGCCTTTCTACACGTTATTTGGTTTAAAACACATAAAAAGCACGAATGTAAAAACTACACAAATACAAAATACATATATCAATACAATAAATAAACAAACAAAAAACAAAATAACTTATAACATCTGTCCGTAGGCAAGTAAGATATGTCAATTTACTGTGTACCTGTACTGTAAGAATAGAAGGTTTGCATGGTGGAAGATACTAAGACAAGATAAGTCCGCGGCAGCACCACGCGAACAAATCTGCCCCGTGAGCACGTGTGGCCCTGAAAAGAACCGGAGGGACCCAATGCCCCGAACAGCATGCTCCGCCCGTCGTCAGGAGAATGTTCATTCTCCCGACGACGGGCAGAGCACACCGCTTGAAACGCTGAGCCCCCCCCCCCCCCCCAGAACCACACACACTCACAAAAGAGACCCATTCACACGGCGCCACCGCAAACCCATCCCGTCCCAGTACCTGAACTGTGTTATTCCTATTTGTTTAACAAAAGAAGACAAACTTCGTCAACGGAGGATAAGGGTCAACACAGCAGCTCAGCGTTCCAACTGCTCATTGTACCGCCTGATAGTTGCTGGAACAAATGAGCTTCCATATCGCGTAGTTCTTATCCTCTGTTGTAGAAGATGGTTGCTTCGGGAATTATGGACAAACTTTCTATGCAGTGGATGGCACCTGTCAGACATAATTAATTGTAACTTATTGCACATGTTAGACTTAAATAAGTCAATCAGTGGTTCCTGTTGATGGCCAATAATCCTGCTAGCTTGTTTAACTATTTTATCCAACATAATGTGATCCTGGGTCCTCATATTTCCAAACACACAAATAAGACAGAAAGTAAGAATACTCTGTAAAACTGATTTGTAAAACATTTGCAAAATTGTGCGATCAACATTAAAAGAGTTAAGCTTCCAAGGAAAAACAGGCGTTGTCGTAATTTACAGAATTTTGCCTTAGCACAGGTGTCAAATTTAAGCTGATTGTCGATTTCAATCCCCAGGTATTTGTAAGCAGATATAGTTTCAATTCGTTCATCTTTAATGAAGAGTGATGGGGTGTGCATTTTCCTTTTTCTAAAATCGATCACCATTTCTTTGGTTTTTTGGGCATTAACTTCCAAGTAGTTTTGAACATAGTACAGTCGGCTCCCGTTATAACGAGGTCCGATGGACTTTCACAATACTGTCGTTATAGCCGGAACCTCGCTAAAACCGGAGCGCAGTTTTCCCCATTCGTTGTGCACAAGGTACGGTACATGTGCGTGCGTGTTTTAATCGTGTAACGCACGTCCGAAGACATGAGAAGATGGTCATTTGTTGGTATGTACGTCTGTTATTAATGTATATTAAATATTTAACTGATGGTGATGAATAAATGAAATAAATAAAATACCTTTAAGGGAACATTGTTCAATATTTGAGGACCTGAATCCGGAGGAAAAGGCATCATCGCTGAGAAGAATCAGGCAAGTAGGTCACTCGCACAAATCGTGCCGAGTGACATTTTGCTTTCATTTTGCATTTGCTGGAATCGGGCAAGAGAGGGCGCCAATACATGCATTACTTCCGGGTTTTAATGACTCCTGATCCTTAGATGCCTTTTGGTTGTTGACTTTTTGGAACAGTTGGGTATTATTGTTTCTGAAGGGATTCTTTGAAACTGTAATTATTTCGGTTAACTATAGCGCACATTCGTGCCAAGTGACATTTTGCTTTCGTTTTGCATTTGCTGGAATCGGGCAAGAGAGGACGCTAATATTACTTCCGGGTTTAAGTGTCTCCATGTGTAATTTCGCAGCAATTGGTGATTATTGTTTGTCGGGAGGGATTCTTTTAAGATAATAATAACAAATAAACAAAAGTAATAATTTTGGATTAAATTTGGACAATGTATATATGGTGGGGCGTTTGAAGATCTTGGAAACCTGTTTTCATTGGGATTGTTTTTTCGGCGGGGCCGGAGGGGTTCTTAATTTGTTTAAGATTTTAATTTTTTTTATTCTTCGGATTCTTTTTTGGTGGTGGGAACCACGGTATGTTTTAAACTTTATTTTTTGAAGACAGACTGAATTATCTCTATTTGGAAGTTGTGGTGGCTCTGAAAAGAGCCGTTTGTTTTGTGATGCTGTGTTCTTTACTTCGTATTTTTTTTTATAGCCACAAGCCAACAATAGGGAGCAATTACGCACCCGATGTTCGGGCGGTAGTACTGTAACTAAAGGCTATTCCTTACAATGTTAACACTTAACTCCTGAGCGCCCCCTATTGTTAGTTTGTAATAATATAGAAACGTGGTACCGCAGTCGTAAGCAAACTTCAAGCCTGGTCACGCTAAGGGAAACCGTATCGGGGGATTAGCGACTAGACCAGCGGTCCACTGCGCCGATTATCACAGTCCCATTGAATTTATTTATAAAGATCGGCGAGATGAAATAACGTTGGGTTGAAGTCTTTACAAAGGTACATTGATGGGTGAAGCTTAAGTGTGTTGCTTGAATTGGAAGACGGGAGCATGATGCCTGTTTCGGGACAAAAGGTCTGTCGTTGACAAGCTGCAATGCCCGTAGTTTTGAAAAGATGTCGTTGTAAATGGGTTGAGAACAATGCTTTTCCTCGCATTGGGTCAGCCAAAATCGTCGTAATAGCCGAAGTCTCGTTATGTCCGTGCACGTAATAACCAAATATTTCCCCATAGTAATGTACACAAATTGATCGGGACTGGGAGAATGTGCTTGTTACATCCGGGTTATCGTTATGACCGAGCTCGTTATAACGGGAGTCGACTGTACTTGAGTATGTATGGGGGACCCCCATGCAACCCCCCCCCCCCAAGAACTACTTTTCACCAATTTTTTGGGGTGCCTTTTAGGGTCCTAAAACACATTTTGGATGTTA